TCCATAGCCCAGCCCTCTCCAGGGCCAGCAGCAGCATGGGCAGCCTCATGGGCCTGCAGGCGAGCAGCAGAGCCCACTTTCTTGCCACAGGTCCCACACTCAAAGCGCCGTGGGGCCTGGGTGGCAGCAGCTGCACAGCGATGCTCATAAAGCCGCAGAGAAGAGGGGAAGGCAGCCCCACAGGAAGGGCAGTGGTGGGGCTGGCGCCCGGCGTGGACCACAAGCTGGTGCACCTCTAGCAGCCTGCGCAACAAGAAGGAGCGGGAGCACTCCCGACACTTGTAGGGGTACTCTCCTGTGTGGTGGTAGCGGTGCATGAGCAGGCGGGAAGGGCGGTGAAAACGCAGTCCACACTCCTGGCAGCGGTAGGGAAAGTGCTGGGCATGCACCAGGCGATGCTGCCTCAGAGTGGAGCTCTGAGTAAAGGCCTTGCCACAGTCCCCACAGCGGTAGGGCCGCTCCCCCGTGTGTGTGAGGCGGTGGCGGGCCAGGTTGGCAGGGGAGGTGAAGGGCTTGGAGCAGTCGGGGCAGGGGAAGGGCCGCTCTCCGGTGTGTGTGCGCAGATGGTTCCGCACGTGAGACTTCTTCTTGAACATCTTTCCACAGATACTGCATTTGTGGCGCCGCTCCAGCCGGTGCACGAAACGCTGGTGCCGGGTCAGCTGCAATGCCTTGACAAACTCACGGCTACACAGGAGGCAGCGGTAAGTGCCTGGAGCTGCAGGCTCTGCTGGATTCTCCTCAGATGTGGGGAGCTCTGGCGCCTCTGGCTCTCTGGTCTCTGCAGGGGCTGGCTCCGGAAGGCTAACAGCAGGCTCCTCTGGCGGAACTGGTCCTGCCGGCAAAGGGACACCTCCTGCCCCATGGGTACGCCGGTGATAAAGGAACTTGGTAAGGTTGACAAAGGTCTTCCCACAGGGACATGAATGCAGAGGATTCGGAGTATGGGCCCGCCGGTGGGCCAAGAGAAGGGCTTCTGTGCCAAAGGCCAGGCCACAGTCCACACAGAGGAAATGAGATTCACTGCTATGGTCACCAAGGTGCTGATCGAGACTAGAAGGGCTGGGGAAGACACGACTGCACAGGGGACACTTAAAGACTCCCTCCCGGTGACTCCGCCAGTGCTGCTGTAGCTGGTGTGGTGAGAGAAAGAGCTGGTCACAGGCTGAGCAGAAGAGTTCCTGGGTGGCTGTCCCACCTGACTCCCCACTGTTGGTCCTCCGGGGCTTCCGCCCCCGGCGATCCCGTCCAACGGCGGCCTCCCCATTGCGCAGCTCGTAACTATGGTCAGAGGCTGGCAGGGGTTCAGGGAGAGATGCTGGCACCTCGGTGGGTGAGGGGATCAGAGTCTCCTGCTTGAGGGCAGGTTCTGCAGCCTCTGGGACAGCAGGGAAGTGGGTGGCCTGGTGCTCCAGGAAGTCAGCCGGCAGCTGGAAGAGCTGGGAGCACTCGGAGCATTTGTAGAGCAGCAGCTCCACCTCCGCCACCACCTCGGTGCTCGCGGCAGCTGCAGACGGCACAGCTGCCCCTTCGCCACCTTCTTCTGCTTTTCGGTAGGAATGCTCCACAGCCACTCGGGCCTGGCCCACGGGGGACCCCAACACAACTGGGGACCCCAAGACAACCGGGGCAGGAGCCTTGGTGGGCGTGGCCCTGAGATGCATCTGCCGATGGTTCAGCCACAGCTCTTGGCTGGCGAACAGAGCCTTACAATCCACACACTCGTAGTGGATGGTGCTGGAGCTCAAGGGGCACGCCTTGGGCGGCGGCTCAGCTGGCACTGCCTCCTGGGGTGCCATCATCTTCAGGTGCAGCTCCTGGTGCTCCAGGAGCTGGCTGGGTGACAGCAGTAGCTGTCCACACTCAAGACACTGGTAGAAGCTCTCCTGTATGAGGGTCTGATACAGGCCGGTGCCTGAAGCTGCCTCTGTGGCCACTGCCAGGCCAGGGTCAGCCACGCCCACCAGCTCAAAGTGCTGCTGGGGCACGTGGGAGTTCTGGTGCACAAGCACCTCCTCCAAGGATCCATAGAGCTGGTTGCACTCAGAGCAGACATAGCGGTGCTCAATGTACAGGACCGTCTCCTCGCTCTCCTCAGTCATGGCAGCAGCAAGGCCTGGGCTGAGAGAAGGGAGGGCGGAGACAAGTCAATCCCCCCACTCCGGACCAGTTCTTTCTCTCTCCCTTTATCACCTCGACATTCTAAAACCTCAGCTACGTTTCCTCCTCCAACTTGCTGACATTTTCCACTCCAACACCCTTCCTGATAATCCTCCTCCCGTCAACACAGAAGCAGCCAGCACGAATTTCTCCAGGCGTCTCTTCCAGAGACTCTATCCCAAGTCTCCAGTTAGCTTGCATCCCACCCCACCCACCAGGTTCTGTAACCTCTCCAACACTCTCCATTCCCACGCCTCAAAACAGGCTCCCAAAGCCCTGGTGACCAAACAGGAAGCGGTCTCCGTGGGGCAGACACTTTTCCTGACTCCTCACCATTGCACAGGACAGTCCTCCTTTGCCAGCCCTCCCACAGAGCCCTCACACAGCCTGCTTTCCAGCTGCACTCCTACATGGACTCTGTTCTTTCTTGGAGGGTCACAAACTTTTCACTTAGGCCACTCACACTACACCACCTACTGCTCTACTGTAGGAGCCGGTGGTCTGAGGCTTCCCCTTGCCACCCAACCTCTGCTAACCAACAGTGCCCAGATTCCTCACATCAAGTCACCCAATATCCATTTTTTTTTTTTTTTCCTCACTGGCTTACTCCCTCTCCATACTTCCCCACCTTAGCCACTTCCTGACACAAAGATTCTTAGAAACTGGTTCAAACTGAGTATATCAAGGCCTTCTCGGCCAGGTCGTGATGGCAAGTCTTTAATTCCAGCACTCAGAGGCAGAGCTGGTTGGATCTGAGTTCCAGGCCAGCCTGGTCCACAGAACAAGTTCCAGGACATCAAAGGGTACACAGAGAAACCCTGTTTAGAAAAAAAAAAAAATAGTAAGAGACCTGAGCCATCGGCCAAATCCTTTATACCTAGACTATCCCCACCCTTCTCTCAGACCCCCAGAGTACCCTTTTCACAGTAGCATAACTGCCTCTTGTTCCTATGTAAGTCATCTGGGGATGCCTACCCATATGCTCATTTGTTTTTTTGTTTGTTTGTTTTTTCGAGACAGGGTTTGTATTGCTTTGGAGGCTGTCCTGGAACTAGCTCTATAGACCAGGCTGGCCTCAAACTCAGAGATCCCCCTGTCTTGCTGCCCGTCCCCCCTCCCTACCAGTGTTGGGATTAAAGGGGTGCACCATCAATGCCTGGCTCCATTTTTTTTTTAAAAAAAGATCAACTAACACCACCCTTTTTTCTTCATAAAGACCCAGGCCATGCCGGGCGTTGGTGGCTCACGCCTTTAATCCCAGCACTCGGGAGGCAGAGGCAGGCAGATCTCTGTGAGTTCGAGACCAGCCTGTTCTACAAGAGCTAGCTAGTGCCAGGACAGGCTCCTAAGCCACAGAGAAACCCTGTCTCGAAAAACCAAAAAAAAAAAAAAAAAAAAAAAAAAAAGAAAAGAAAGAAAGACAGGCAGGCAGGCAGGCCCAGGCCAACCTTACAACCTTAACCCATCCCCCAAACCCCTCTTTAGAGTATCAATCTTAACTTTTCTTCTTTTTAGAAAAGACCCAAATCCATCCTAACCCATTCCAGGAACGATCAGATCCCCATTTCATATAAATTCAACATCTCTTGGTTTTTTGTTTTGTTTTGTTTTTGCTAGAAGATCCCCACACAACTGTATAATCTTGTCCGGGGATATGCAGCCTATCCTTCGCGATGGCTTAACCCTGTCCCCTCTTGCTGTTTCTATCCCCTTCAGGATCGTCAGAACCCCAAAGGTATCCCCGTATGTTAGTTACATCTCGTTCCCAGACCACCACTTCTTCTCTGTTAGTCCCTCTCCCCAACTACACCCAGGATTGCCCCAAATCCTCTCTTTGGCCTACTTAAAAATAAGAACCTAAAACACTCCCTCCCCAGCT